CGACAAAACCATCCGCATTCTTGTTTGTTGACAATTTGACGACAACATTTTTACGACAATCCTTTTATCTATTTCCGGTTAGAGACAAAAAAAAAAAAAAAAAATAAACGTTAAAAATGTGTTGTACGTGTTAGTTATATATTTTTTTTTTTGTATGTTAATTAATTTTTATAAATTGACGTTTTTTTTCAACTTAATTTACGAGTTTTAACGTTTCCCCACGTTTTATAAAATATTTTAAAGAATTTATTTTGTTAAATATGTTTAATAATAACGAATTTTAACGCCATTTTCGTTTAAAAAGTGTGATTTTTTTTTTAAGCGGTTAAAATTTTTTGTTAATGCATAAGTTAACCGTACAAAATGTTGTCGTTTGTTTTAATTACCGTTTTTGGTTTATAGATAAAAATATGGTTTCAAAATAGAAGGACAAAATGGAAGAGAAAATATACAAACGATGTTGAAATATTAGCACAACAATATTATAGTTCGTTGGGATCATTTGCACCTCGTCCAATGTTTTTAGGAGATCGTTTATGGTTATTTAATTATCAATCAAATCCGTACCACCATCATTCTATAATACCATTCATACCATCACAATTTCAATCTCAAAATTACTTACAATCGTCAAATATTACACAAAATTCTCAAACTGTTTTATTACATCAATTTCCCATCGGTTGCAATCAAATAAATTTAAATGAAAATCATTAAAATAATTTTAACGGTCGTCAGTCACGGTGTAGTAAAAAAACAAGGAAAATTAATTAAAATTTAAATTTCAACATTGAAAAAAAAAAATTTTTTTAAATAAATATATAGCAATAAATATATAGCCATTTTAATTTTTTTTATGTTTTTATTTTAATAATAATAATAATAAAATTAAATTTAAAAAAAAAAATTATTTAAAGGCACTAATTTATTTATTTATTTATAATTTCATTATTTATACATAACAGAAAAAAAAAATTTATGGCATAATAAAAAATGAAAAAAAAAAAAAATGCAAAAATTATTTGAAATATACTAAAAACTAAAAAAAAAAAAAAATTTATTTTGGCACCAAATTTATTTATTAAAAAATTTTTTTTTATTATTATTATTCCCTAGACAAATTATTGATACATAATTACATCGAAATTTATTTATTTATTTTATTTTTCTTCCCTAATAACTAATTAAATTGTTAATAATTTGAAAATTTTTTTCACTTTTTTTTTTTTAAATATGCGTTTAATTCATTTTTTTAAAACTTTTATTGTAAAGAGAGAGAGAGAGAGAAAAAGAGAGAGAGAAAAACTTATTATTATTATTATTATTAACAAATTCATTGTCAATACCAAAGAACGTTTTGAAATATTTTTATGCCAAAACATTTAAATAATATAAAAATATTTTTTTTTTTTTTTTTGTATATAAACATAAAATTTAATTTTAATATAAAAAAAATTTAAATAATAATAATAATTAAATAAATTAGTGCATTTTAATAATAATAAACGTTACGTCATAATTATTTTACCAAAAAAATAATAATAATAATAAACCATGATTAAGTAACAGAAATTTAAAAAAATCCTTAAAAAGAAAAATATATAAATTATTTTTTTTTATAAATTTTTTATTTTATTTATTTATTTATTTATTATATCCAAAAATTTTAAAACAGTATAAATTTTACATATTATTTATTATTACAACAATTTTATTATTATTATTATTATTATTTATAATAATTTAAATTATAAACTTTTCCATTGACAATGACCCAACGCCGACATTTAAATTATTAAATACTGTAAATATTGTTTTTATTATTATTATTATTATTACCGTATAAAAAAAATTTTTTTTTTTTTTTGAAAAAGAAAACCTAATAACAAATAATCACAAATTAAAATTTTATTTAATTAATTAATTTATTTTATTAATAGAAAAATTAATTTTATTGTATTGCATTTCTCTTTTGATATTTACAAATAATTTTTTTTT